GGCGGCAAGGGAGAGGCACCCACAGGAGACTCCGGGGGCTGCTGGAGAGAGAGCACGTGTCCTACGCTGTCACCCGGGAGGCTCACTGGCCGGGCACCCAGAGACTCATTGCTGTAAGCGGGACATTGCCTATGCATCGCCCGTAAGCAGGACGCTGGAGTGGCTGCACCATGAGCCACCCCGACAGGGCCGCAGCCGCCAGCCGAGGGTTGTCTCCTCTGGCCAGGACAGCCCCGCTGTCCTGCAAGCACATGCCCTCCCCAGTGCCCACCCAAGGCCAGAAATGCCCCATGCCCCACTGTGCCGGCCCGGAAACCAGGAGCTGATTTGTGCGAGTACTTTGTCCCTGGTCTCCCTGCCAAGTGCATCTCGCACGCCCCGTCTACACAAACGCTACCCCTCGGATGTGTAGACCTGCGTGTTCACCACCTGGTGTGTTCTCAGGTGATACCCTGAGAATGAAGGGTTTGCTCCCATCACGGCAGAGAGAACCAAGCTCCCCTGTCTCGAGAAGGATGTTCCAAAGTGTCCAGGAGTCGCATGGTCTTGACCGCAGCTGGCCTGCCCAGGCGGGTCAGAGCAGAGGCAGAGCCCGCCCCCTTAGAGAGCCCACTCCTCCCCGCCCTGCGGGCCAGCTATGGCAGGGGAGAGGGAGAGGAGGAAGGGGGAAGAAACGGAAGCAGACTGTTCTGAAAGCCAGGGCTTCTGCTGGGTCACACCCCCAGCCTCTGTGACTTTGTTTCATCAGGAAATTCATGAGATCCCTCAGGACGAAGGCCCGAACCCACCCCACTGGTGGCTGGGGTCCAGGTGCTGGGAAGGTAGCTGGGAGAAGGGTCTCAAGGGTCCAGGGAACCAGGCTCACACTCTTGCTCACACGGATGAGGATGCCCTGTCCTTCCCAGGCCAGTGCTGGCTGCTCAAATGCCATCTGACAGTTGGGCGCACAATGGAAGCAGAAACAGCCGCATCCTACACGAGCCCAGCAAGGGGAGCGAGAGGAGGGAGCCAAGGAATGGCCAGGCCCTGGGGACCGTGGTCGCTCCTGGGGGACTTGCCAGCCTCATTTCATTCTGCAAACTTCTTCCAGACAGAAGGGTTGATTAGAGAAGCTAATTAAAGCATTTGAAGATTATCTCGGACCCAAAGCAAGGAAGAACTCCAAATGCTTCCCACCCGGCTCCTCCCTCCCTTCTTCCTCCCTCCAACTCTGGCCTTCATTAAGCTTTGATTTCAATCAATCGCACACCCACTAAAATTAACTTATAAGGCCAATAAATTGCAACCGCATGTTCGAAGGTAAGATCCGCTGTGAGCCAAGAGCAGGGGCAAGGCGTCGGGGCCAGATGGGAGCAATCATCTTCGGGGGAGAGCGGTGCCAGCCCCTTCGGTTACAACATCTGGTCCTGGCAGAACCCGGGCCCACAGAGGCACCGGTGAGACCCCACGTGCTAGAGCAGGGAAGGCTGCTCGTCCTCCCTGGGAGACGAGACTAGGGCAATGGTCCTCGGGGTCACAGCCGCGGCCTGGGCTCAGACCCGAGGCAGGAAGCTGCTCTGGCGGCTGCAAGGGCCTGGCCCCCACTGAGGTGCAAGGTTCATCTCAAAAGAGCTTCTCAGGAGGAGCCACGAGGCTGTGTGCTCCAACCGACCGACAACTGAAGAGCCAGCCTGGGCAGGGCCTGAAGCGGGCAGGGTCAGCTATGGCCAGACATGCTGCCCAGCGTGAAGTCTGAGCTGAGCTGCAACAGGGAGGGGCTGTGGAAGGGCAGGGCAGGGACACTCCCCGGAGGCCCCCCACTAAAGTAAAACGGGCCCATCCTCTAAGTGTTTTCAGCAAACTGCTATTCTAACCTACAAACAGGGATGTTTTGGGTCACACCCTCAACAGGTGCTGGATAAACATGGAGGTGTCAGGAGGGAGGGAAAGCCTTGGAGGAGTGTTAGGAAACATGCAGGGCACGAAGCTCCTCTCCCCGGGGCCTGCACCTGATGTCACCTGGGGCCACAGGTCCTGCTTCCAAGGCTTCTTCACCCACAAGAGGGTCAGAGGGAGGGAGACAGAGAGGGAGGGAGAGAAGGAAGGAGAGAGGGAAGGAGGAAGGGGGGGGAGAGAGAGAGGAGAGATGGGGAAAGAGAGGGAGAAGGAGAGGGAGAGGGAGGGAGGGAGGGAGGAGAGAGAAACAGGGAAGAGCTACAGCCTCGGGACACCAGCGCCATGGTGTGTGGTCAGCGCGAAGGCGTTCGTCTCTCACAGCCGGTCTCAGGGGAGCCTAAGCCTCAGCCAGCTGCTATCGTCAGGGCCGGCCGGTGCCAGCTCTGACCACCAGCCTCGTGGTCTGTGGCTGCCATAATTAATGCAGGGTGCACGGGACACCCTGGCCCTCCTCCGCGGGGCACAGCTCACTGACGCTGCTGGGACCCCCACAAGCTTGTCCCGACCCTCTGGGCTTGGGCCTGTCCACTGCTCTTCCCACAGGCAGGAAGTGACACCAGCAGGCACTCTACACCCCAGGAGCTCCTTTCTGAGAGGCGGGAGGCAAAGGCACCCAGAAACACAGGTCTCGGGGGGCTCAGCTGGCAATAGGGGAGCAAGGGGTGTGTCCACACAGGGCCCGGAGTGCTGGGACCAGGGCACCTCCCCTGGTGGCCAATGCTCAGCGCTGTTTCTGGGGCAGAGAAGGGCTGTTTGCTCCCCCAGTACCACCACTCAGAGCTGTGAGTCAAGACTGGCACCTCCAGCTCGAAGAAGCCGCGGCATCTCTCGCAGGCCGTCTGAGCCCAAGACAGCGAGGCATTGGGGCAATAAACGGCCTGCAGAGTCGTAGGCGGGTGACTGATACTATCATCACGGCTGTTTTATTATCAGTATTACCACACTGACATGGAGCTGATTCCACTTAGGAGTTCCGGGTTCGTTGCTGGATTGGCCTCTTGCCACATGGCTGGGTGAAAAATTGCAAAAACAATCACAAATAAACTATGCTATCACACGCTTCAACTTCCCAGCTGTACTGGAGGGCGGGCTGCTCTGGGTATAGTTCACGCACAGTGGAAGTCGGTGGTGATCCATGGGAACTTCAGGCAAACACGGACACAGTACCAGCTCTTCGCCCGGCGAACTGTTCTCGCGTCCCCTCCTCCTCCCCCATCTGCGAATGGGCGGGAACCTTCCCCAGAGGAAAGGCCTAAATATGATGTGGATCACGGCGGGCTCTGGAGACAGCTCAAAGGCAAGAACGCATTCCACAGATGCAGGAGGCAGGGCCCAGTCCCTCCCATCCCTAGTACAGAGCTAGCAGCAGCCCAAAGCACTGCAGTGCCAGGGACTGAACCCGGGCCTGGCACGGGCTTCGTCTGCTGAGCTAACCATCTCTCTGGTCTTAGATACAGAATTATAGTGACATTTTCCGGGGTGACCAGAGCAGTCAGGCTATCTGTTTAAGGTTTCCTTAGAGCCAGGCTTTCATATTTCACGCATCTGCTCAAGTGGAGGTATTTGTGGTCTGAGTGTCAGACTGAAGACAGGCCACTCGTCTCTCAAACCAGGCTCCAAGAGAACGTCTTCACTACTGAATTAATAAAGCGAATCTGCTGTGAACAGAAATGCCATTCCAGCTGTCTGCAAAGCAGGGCCCTCAGAGTCTTCTCTTTCTTCCACGGGGGCCATTCTGGGCCATGCTCGGAGGCCCCCAGCACTGCGACGGCCTCAGTGTTGGGGTACCAGAACCTTCTCCACTCTCTGCAGGCCCCAGACCTGGAATCCTTCAGTGAGTCTTCCCTTGCATCCCGGCCACACGCTCAGCACTCTCGAGCTACAATGCTGCTTCTCTGATTCCCATTTTCCCGTTATCAATCCCAGGTCAGGAGTGGGGAACTACAACCTGAGGCTGAATCCCACCCTCCAAACCTCAAGAGGTGCACTTTCAAAGGTTAATGAAAGAAGGGGGAGAAAAAAGATGCCGAAAAGTGGGGCACTAGCAACAGCACAGCGGGGAGGGCGCTTGCCTTGCACGCGGCCAACCCAGGTTTGATCCCCATCATCCCATACGATCCCCTGAGACTGCCAGTAACAATCTTGGACTGCAGAGTCAGGAATAACCCGAGAGCACTGTTGGGTATGATTCCCCCCGCCACAAATTTTTTTTTTTAAGTTTTTTAAAGAAGGAAAAGCAAAGAAGGGGTGAGATGAGGAGCCCAGGAAGCCTATGGGTAATTACTCCCTGGTCCTTTATGTCCAAGTGCTCCAACCCTCCTAGACAACTGTGTTCTTAGGGCAGCTGTGTCCTCACAGGCTCGCCAGATTATGACTACAGAACCGGACTGAACAGAAACACGTCCAAGGAGAACCATCAGGGCCATTTCCGGCATGGGTCATCAATGCAGTGGCCCTCCTTATGGAGGGGGTGGAGGGAGCGAGCGAGAGGAGAACTCAAAGCCGATAGAGCAAAAGGCTCGGGCACAGCGGGGCCAAGGTCCAGGCCACAGGAGTCCAGCACACATCGCTCAGACAGGCCTGGCCATGTGCGGTCACTGGGGAAGATCCTTAATGTTGCCCGCTCGGTGACTGGTCTGCGCTCCAGGAAGAGTCCAGGTGAGGGGCCAGAAAAGAGAGCAGAAGCGAGTTTGACTCCCGGACACCTGACTTCCCCGACGGAAACACAGGCAGGACAGGTCGCCACCAGGCTGGTGGGGCTCTAACGTGATGCAGAAAGCCTGTGGGACCCAGCTGGGGCGCCTCCGCAGCCCTGAGCCTGTCTGCTCAAGACAAGGTGCACGTGCGCACTCAGCATGCTGCATGGCTGCATCCCATCACCTCGGCGCCTCGTCCCTGACCCGTCAGCCATCACGGTCCCGCACTGGGAGCTCAGTCTCTGTCCGGAGGGCATGGTCGCTGACAGGTTCAAGAGAGGGCCTGGCCCGGACTTACCAAACTCCCAGAATTTACTTATCAAAACATCAGAACTCTGAACCCAGGTTTACAACAAGGGCGTGACTCACAGGTCTCGATACTGGTCGAAGGCGTTGTTGGCCTCCACCTCCAGCTTTCTCAGTCGCGCGGAAGGCATGGCGCCGTCTTCCAGCGGAGGGTCATACTTGTTACTCCACGGTGACCTGCAGGAGGGAGAAGGAAAGAATGTCGATCATTCCAGGGGGACAGAGCCGGACAGCTGTGAGCCCACGCCGCCAACAGTTTCAGAGGAAAAACCCACAGCCAGCCCATGGGAGAGTTTCCCAGGCTCCAACACGACTTTCTCCCCGAGTGAGAGTGCAGCTCCAGAAGTCCCACGTTCCCCCTCTCGCCGGCACTTCCAGCAAGTGTTCAGGTATCACCGCACCTCAGTGCCTTAGGCATAGTGAGGCTGCCACGTGCGACGCACAGGGCCAAGGACAAAAACACACCAAGCACCAAAGTAAGTATGGCTGGGTACGTATTCGGTCCATGTCCCTTCCTTCCTGCCCTGGACTCTGTTGGTACGCCTGTTTCCAACCGTGCTGGCCAGCTGTCCCTCTCTCCTCTGGTTAACCTTCCACTGTACAGGCTTTCTCACCCAGCGAGAGCTAAGCCGAAGGCTGCTGGCCAAAGAGCAGGCCCCAGACTCAGCATGGAACGCCTGGGCGGCCGAGGCCTCCCGTGCGCAGGGCTGAGCAGGGGGGAACCGGCCTCTCACTCCTGGGAGACCTGAGGGCTTCCACTGTGTGCTGCACCCAGGAAAGCCGTGAAAGCCTGAGCAGGACTTAGGAGGGATGGGTCCCAACGCCGGCAGGTGGTTCCCAGAACGGGAGAGAACAGCGCACAACACAGGAAGGAGAGAGGCCTGCCCTTGTGCCTGCACCCCACCCTCCTGGTAGGGACCCACGGGAATGTGGGCCTGGGGCTGCTGTGAAGAATGGTCCCCCTGGCTCCTACCCCTCGGGGGCACGGCAGCACCGGGGCCTCACGTGTGGCCTCATGCCTGTCGGGCACGTGCTTTGGGTTCTGCACCCCTGAATGCTAGGAGTAACAAACCACATGCACATGCACCTTCACGAGGGTGGCACCTGGCATTCTTTTCTCCAGTCACCCTCAGAGAGGGGCTTTGTCCACAAGGAAAGTGGGGGGGGTCCCGGTGCCTTTAGCTGGGGACCCTTTCCTCCAAGCGGGCCATGCCCCACCTGCAGTGCACTGCGACCAATGCTCGAAGAGGCTGAGGGATGGGCTTCTTCCTTCAGTCCCTGACCAGCGGTCAGCTCTCCGCCCACACTGAACTGCACAGCTCCTGGGCTGCCAGGTAGGGGAGGGCAGGCAGGAAGAGACCACCTGGGGTGCCTCTACCTCTCAGGCTTGACTGGCATGTCCAGAGAGAAGGCTCACCAGAATCATTCAAATTGCCACCACTAGCTCTAGGGGGCTGCTGGGACGCAGGGACTACCTTTCGCATTTGATTTCACTTGATCTAGTTAACAATCCAATCGGCTACCTCAAGCACACAAGCGCCACCAAGCGGGAAAGAGCCTTTTCTGTCTTGTTTCGCTGGCGCGCAACTACATACACACTCATTAAAAATGAGAATGTGGTCAGGACATGAAATTAACTCTTGCACCAACCCCCCAAGAAGAGCACCCTCCTCCCCAACAGACGCCAAATCACACAGATGGCATGGTGCGCCCCGCCCCCCCGCCCCCAACCTGCACCTCAGCCCTCACGTCCAGGCACAATGAGTGCTGGGATAAAAGAATGGACCGCAGGAATTTTGCTCAAATGGCACCAGCAGGGCATCATCCCGCCTGCCCTGCAGAGGGATGCTGAAGCGTCCAACACTCACCAAGGCCTCTACCAGAGGGAAGACAAAGATGTGGGTGAAGGGTGCTGGTCTCCACTGCCAAGCAGACCTGGCACCTCTCCTTAGTGGTAAAGTAACTGGGGGTCCTAGGTCCGCCCCCCACCCAGACTCCCCAGCTCTCCTCAGCAGGCCCAGGTCTGACCCTCCTTCCACAGGGAACTGTGCTGCTTGCCTGAGGTCTTGAGGGAACACCCCGCACCACCCCACCCCACCCACACCCCCCCTCCCCCGCCCTCAGACAACCAGATCACAAACAAGGGCCTATCTCTCCTGCAGACCCGGGGCCTGGAATGCTCAAGAAGCCCGTAACTCACATTTCTTCTGGCTCAGACGACAGCATTTCAAACTGTTCGTACTGGAGCCGGGGTAATTGTAGCTGAGGGAAAAATCATAACATTAGCCAGAATATTCTTAGTGGAAGGGGCACTCAGAACACATTTAAGAGCTTAAATGGAGGCTATTTGAAAAAAGACAGATGGACAGGAACGCTTAGATTTCAAAAGTCAGGCCTTTCATTCCCCTCCGAGAATGCTTTTTGTTTCAGCTAACAGGTTTCAAACAGCGCTGCTGGCAACGGCTGCGCCATAAGGACCTTATTTAAGTGAATGATCAAACACAGTTAGGATGGAAATGTGTGCAGAAAATCAAAAGACCTTGAAGTTTTATACCGAGAAGGGAAAAGGAAGGCAGGCCTGCAACGGTGACGCTCCGGGCTCCTCTCTGGCTGGGGACCCCCAGGCAGGAGCAGCGGGGCAGGGGAGGTGACCTGAAGGGGCTGTAGGCAGAAACCAAAGCCTGGGGGGAAGTCTGGCCTTGCTTGGCACGGATATGGCAACAACCCCAGCCTTCTACAGACTGCTGCGGACAGCTGCCAGGCACAGCAAGCTGGACTTTCTAGGCGGAAAAAGAAGTATCCTAGGGATGCTAAACAAGACTCCTCTCGGGAACCCTCCACCTTTGGAAGCCACTCCTGAGCGTTCCACGAGAGAGCCTATCTCCCGGCGAGATGTCCCTGGTCTGACCGTGCAGGACCTTGGCCCCCAGTGAGGGCTGGATGTGGGTATCTTGCCCACGACTCACCCAGCAGAAACCCAGAGCACAGGCTGACCCTCCACCACCTCCACACTGGCAGCTCCCACAGCTGCATGCCCGCCTCCCCCGAGACCCCTCCAGGAGCTCTGGGTGGAACCACAGGCCCCAAGACAGTTCTGTGTCCACCTCACAGGCACCTCACCTCACAGCCAGCAACTGTGACCACCTCAAGTCACCAAACCGCTCAGCGCCCCCCCGCCCCAGCCCCGCTCACCCACAGCCCAAGCAGTCTCCAGCCCATTTTCCCTGTGACACTGGAACGGAACATGATGATACAAGCAGCGCTCCTGTCTCATACAAGGCGGCGTGAGATCCTGGCGGTTCCTCCCAGCTTCCGTGCTGTTTGTTCAGCACCACACGCTAGTTCCTTGATCACACACTCAAACCTGCTGCCAAGCCCCAGTCCCCTCGCCCTGGCCTTCAAGGCCCTGCAGGACCACCTCTGCCCTGCCTGGGCCTCCCAGTGCCCTCGGCCTCCCCGCCAGCCTTTCACACAGAGCTTCCCACCTGCAAACCCTCAGTCTCAAGGTCAAAGGGCCTCAGCCAGCAGACAAGCGCTGCCTCTCCCTCTGTCCCCTTTCGGCCTGCAGGAGGCACACACTCGCTGACCATCCGGTCGCCTCACTAGCACAGGAGCAGGAAGACTCTGATCTCCATTTCCCCACAGGGAAACCAGAAGCCCGGCAGCATAAGCGCCCTGGCAAAGTCTCCCTGCCTCAACCGGCAGGACTGGTTGCGAATCCAGGTAGGGCATTATTTTTTTCTCTCCAGGTAATTTTTCCTGCTTCTGCTTCTCCGCCCCTGCCCTGGTCTGCGGCCTTGGAGGCCTAACGCAGGAGACTGTGTTCCTCCACCACATGCCAAGGCACTGACTCCAGCAATCCATCACCAAACTCCAGACTGGCTGAGGAATTCCGTCTTTTTAAAAAGTGAAATTCCTAGAGCCCCTTAAGAACCTAACTCAGACATCACACCTCCATTAGCCAGTCCTCCCGGACCCAAGTGCAGTCTCCACTGTGCTCCCCTCAGAGTGCAAACAGGCACGGGGGCACACAGCTACTCCGAGGAGCTGCCTGATGGCCTGGTCTCCTGTTCCAGGCCAGCCACCACTGATGCAGTGACCCAGGAACCGACTGTGCTCAGCACAACGGCAATAAGAGAGTCTTATTTCTAAATATTAGTTATTCTCTGGACAGAGCAGCATTCAAATGTCCGTGAACCCAGAGGCCCTCCCTTCGCTCAGGATCCCTGGTACGTACACACCCTGTGTCCTGCCCCTCACAAAACTTATGGGAGTGTGAAGAGACCCCAGTGCGATCTGCCCGGGGTCTCTGTCAAAGACACCAGGCTAGCTGCCCCTGCCCTGGAGGCAGAACTCACCGGTAGGAGTCGCCATCTCTGTTGTAGTCACACAGCAGGTAATCCTTCCCCACCACCTTGTCTCTGGCGATTTTCAGTGGCTGGTCAACAGAAGACAGGAGATCTTCACACAGACTAGGGACCTGGCGGGCAGAACGGGAGGAAGAGAGAAAGGGTTAAAACAACAGCCCACTCCAGGCTGGCAAACACCGAGTGGAGCCAGATCGTGGTCAGCATCTTCTACATCTGGCCTGTGGCCCACTGCCAGGACCACGGGTCCATTCTGTTCCTTTCCACGTGTGTCTGACACCAACCGTGTCCCTTTACAAAGAAACCTGCTCTTGAATTACAGCGGAGCGTGACTTCCAAGCCAGCCTTCCTTCCAAATCTGTGTGCAGCTTTAATTACCTGGTCACCAGGGTGGTCCAGCACATTTAAGTATCTGTACGCCTGGTATTGGTCTCTGGTGGACAAAGTACAAGCTGAAGTCCCAAGAAGAAGGTAAACATTTTAAATACATAGGAATCCAAAGAACTCCGAGAATAACCCATCCGTGCCAGAGAACTCCCACAGGCTCTCAGGCAGGGTGTTGTTTCCGACACTTTCCAGGCTCTTGGCCAAGCATTACCGACCTGGCCTACAGAGCTGACCCTACCTGCTGTAAAGGTAGCTTTACCGCACATCCCCACGCCAGCCTCACGGGCCTCTCACAGGATGCCCATCTGGGGCGGCCTCAGGGGGAAAGGGCCCCCATGGTCTGGGGTGGACAAGCGGAATCCCAGGGCAAAGTCATCCCGCGCGACACCTGGCCCTGCCAGGAACCTGGCCACTGCCCCTCCACACCCCCCAAACATCAATTTCCACCGAAATATTCCAGGAAGGGAAGGCAGGGCTTTCAGCAAAGGATTCCTCAGGGCTTGAGTCACTTCCGTGTTGCATTTCCAATGTGCTGACTTACTCATTTCACAGGCCTGGGCTACGGAGACCTCACCGTATCGTTTACCAGGCAGCTGGCTGCCAACCATACCAAAGACCCTTCCAAATGGAAAAGTTAAATCATGAGGCAAAGGCACGCAGAGGAGCAGCTCATCAGAGGGCCCAGAGCAACAGCAGAAGACCCCCACCCACCACAAAGAGAAAGGCAAGGAATACCCCCACCTCAGAGGCCACAGTGGCCTGCGCCAGCTTTCAAGGCACTTCTGCTGGCACCTGAGGTGCCGGGGATGCCAGTAAGGCCCTCTCTGGCCCAGCTATAGCCGCTACTCTGTACTGCAGCTTATAGAAACTCTGGCCTCTAAGCCCTGTCTCCACACCTGCTTATTTCAGAATTCAGTCTCCATGCCACGACAGCCTGTAAACACACACACACACCACACACACACACACACACACACACACTTCAAAGTTGCCTTTGTTGACATTACCTGCATCCGTCCCACCATTTCCAAGTGTCTCCCACAGACCACGCACTTTACTGAGCCTTGTGGAACAACTGCCCTTATGAAGTTCAGGTGCACTGTGCTGGCACTTAGGTATCATTCTCATCTCCCAGTTTCAATACTGAGCCTGGAATCCTAACACAGGCCCAGGACCACATGAGAAGCCAGCAGAAGGGGCCAGAGCGACAATACAACAGGTAGGGCGCTTGCCTTGCATGCAGGACCTGGGTTTGGTCCCCGGCATCCCATGTGGTCCCCTGAGCAATGTCAGGAGTAATTTCTGAGTGCAGAGTCAGAAGTAACCCCTGAGCATCGTCAAAATAACAATAAAGTAGCTGGCAGAGAGAAGACGCCCCTGTGCCCAGCACCTGGCTGCAGAGGGCTAAGAGGAAGGGCACTCTGGGGGCAGACCTCCCAGGAGAGAGCTGGACAGCGCAGGCTGACAATGCACCATCTTGTGGGTCATGACCACGCACAGGGATCTGGATATGCAACAGGCCCTAGAGTTCACTCGGGGTACAAGTGTCATGGGCTCAGCTCCTTCCACAGGCACAGACATCCTCTGGCGAGAACACAGGACTGCTGACAACCCAAGTCCGATGGATCCTGTTCAAACTGCCCTGCAGCCTTTGACCCCAGTTGTCTGGGGTTCCAGTGTCATTCTCAGTGATCTGGAACAATGAACAGTGACCCTGGCCAGGAGACTCTGGGGCCCGTCCATTTCCCCAGTGGGCCCACTCCTCTGGTGTACCCTTTGCCACAGGCACTCCACCCGGCACTCGGGTAGGTCGGGGGAGAGGGAAGAGGGAAGGAGGGCGAGGAGGAGAAAGCCCGCAGAAGGCGGAGGTGAGAGTGACTAGGAGGGCACCAGCAAGTGCCTGGGGGCAGGAGCAGAGGGAGGAAAAAGCCCGGGTGGGGCCCTGCCAGCACACCGAGCAACAGCTCCCAGCATCACCTGCTTTGCTCCCTGCCGCAGCCTAGCTTCAGACAGGGTCACCACCCCCATTTTACGGAAAGGGTCGCGGGGCCGGAGCAATAGTACAATGGGGAGGGCATTTGTTTTGCACATTTCCAACCCTGACATCCCATATGGGGGACCAAGCACAGTTAGGAGTGACCCCTGAGTGCAGAGCCAGGAGGGGCAAGGAGTGCAGAGTCCTGAGTACTGCAGATGTAGCCCCAAAACAAAACAGAACAGAAATAAAATAAAAATAAAGACGGGGTCAGCAGGGCCTCCGTCCGAGATACTTGCCAAGGCCAAGAAAGGACATGTGAGATACGGCACAGCTCAGTTTGAAAAATGTATATCCACTTGCGTTACTGGCCCAAACTGAGAACTTTTCTACTATCTATCCCAGCAGCTGATCACATGAAAACAGATACAAATCAGAAGTTTCCGGCCACAAGTGAGGATCGTGCTTGTGCCGCCATATGGTTCTACTTTGCCTCTTCCCCTTCTCCATTAGTTATTAATGTTGAAAAAAACTGTTCAACCAGAAAAAGAAACTTGAGATGAACCCTGAAAAAAATACATCACAAAAGCCAGACCAGTTCAACTCCACGGCTCCACGGATAATCTAATCCATGGCGCTCCAGCCTGTTAGAAGTGCACTCTTGTACCTCAGTTTTTAAAAAATGGCCAAACGAACACATTCCACCTTTTGATGTGCCCGCTGGCCGTGAGCCCACCGCCAGAGATAAGAGTGGAAACAGGCCCCGTGCACGGCTGCACCCTCCTGGGTCACGCGGGTGTAATCACGCCGGCAGCATGATTCTACCCGCGTCCTGTAGCCAAACGAGCAGGACAGGAACACCAGGTGGCCAGCAGAGGGCTATGCTTACAATCCCTGGTATTTTCCCCAAACCCCAAACTTCCCCTTTTTTCTTGGGGGTGCGGGGGGGGGGACACACGCAAAAACACTGATCCTGAGATATACGTGACGGGGCCTGAAACATCATCTGTAGCACGGTGCCCTGGAGATCATCCACCTGAAAATTAGTTGCTGCTTCAGTCCCACCAGGCCTGCAGTTCCCAAGTCCCCAAGTTTCCCGAGAAACCCTTTCCACTCCGTACGCGACACTCTCTCTCTCTCTCTCTCTCTCTCTCTCCCTCCCCCCCCCTCGGGGGAGCCACAAGCCACTGACTAACAGAGACCCCGCAGATGACACGCAAGACCCCCACAGTAGACCCAGAGCCCGGATGGTGGGGCCATGTGGAAGCTGCCTGGCTCCTGCTGCTACTGAGGGGGCACAGAACTCCCAGGGCCCAGGAGATGGAGAGAGAGGATCAGGGAGGACCCCCTTTGCTCAGAACAGGAGCTGAGCATGTGGGAAGAAGCTGCAGTCTCCGCAACAGCAGAAGCCGGGCAGCGTCCCCCCGGCTGACCCTCCTCCAGGTCTCAGTGCACGCAGAGTGGGCACGGAGGAGACTGACCCCTGGTTCTCATGAGGCAGCACACGGGACGGTGGTGCCCGGAGACTTCGCCACACAGCAGCACTCTCCCGCGCTGACAGCTGCCCAGCTCCAGCTAACCAAGTAGCCTACGAAGGCTTTTCTCAGAATACGCCAGTGGGCAACTGTGCCTGTCACCCAGCACAGAGCAGGGCAGGGTCTGAGCACCGGAACGTGCCAAACCGAAGGCCTCTGGGCTCAGCTCTAAGTCCAAATACCGCCTGTATGCCTGGGGGGCAGGAGGCACCATCATGAAGACCTCGCCTTCTGGAACAAGGTGCCAGGGTGCTTTACTACTTGGAGGGTGGGTACGACAGAAGACAAGACCAAGTGAAAAGACACAAACCCCAAGGAGGCCCCGCTGTCCCCACGACCCTCAGCCCTGTGCACTGAGGCTGGTCGCAGAGGGACAGCACACTGTGTCCCGCATCCTGCCCCAACCCCCATGGGACTCGCTCCTCCCGTGCGAGCTCAGAGGCTCGGACTCCGTCGGCCCCCTGCCACCATCCTACACAAGGGTCCATCTTTCCCCAGGGCTGCCCGGTGGAGGCCCTCCCTCATCCAAGTGCTCCCTGGCAAGGCTCCTGCGCCACCGCCCATATTCGAGACTGGGTGCCCTGCCCCAGCTCTGCGATGCCATCAGAGTGGTGCCATGCCCAGGTCGAGACCAGTGGGCCTACCAGCACGGGTGGGACACAGACTCCCACAATGCTCTGTGTTGTCCCTTGGGGGAGGAGCCGGCAGGCAGGCGGTGGGGAAGGCACCCGCTGGCAGGCTGAGCTCCCCCACAGTCTTCTTCCCGGGGAGCCCCTCCTCAGCTCTGAAAACCAGTTCAACCCCCCACCACCTCGACCCGCAATTTGCATCCAGCCCCTGTGGACGCCTTTCTGGCCAGCAATCTTCTGCTGGCCTTCGGACCCTCTGGATGAATGCTGACTTGTTATCTCTGGAACTGCATCTCCTCACACCTAGAGTTTTTCCGGCCTCAGACCTCCAGAGTCCAAATGTAGCTTTTGTTCAGCCAGGATATGGGGATTTGCCAGAGGCCCTCAAAGACACATCAGGTTCTCCATGGGTCTCTCCTGTGTTCCGATATAAATGTGGGGGGAGGGGGGTGTTGGAGAGGGGTCGGGGAGACACCCCTAAATTCTCCCAGGGTTGCTGGAACTCTCTTTTGCAAAGTCCTCTTTTTTAGCCACGTAGAAAGGCTTGCTTTCCGTGGCAGGGAGAAGACTAGCTAGCGTGAGTGGGG